AAACAAAAAAAAAAAAAAAAAAAATCCGTACGGAATCGCAGATTCACTGTTCGGACTCGCCGATTCCGTACAGTGAATCGGCGATTCACTGTACAAAATCGTCCGGTTCTCTCTAGAACCGGACGATTTCCAATTTTTTGGGCGATCCGGTCCCTTTTCACGATTTCCGAGTCGAACCGGGCGAGTCCGGTTCGACTCGGCGTTTTTTAAAACGCTGACACAAACCCATCCAATTTGACATCTAATGAGTGAGAATGATTATGACCTTCATATACGAAAGATAAATGGTTTATTTGTAGACAATCCCAAATTATATATACGTCCTTGGACAATACTTTTCTAAATCACACAATTAACCCAATTGCTATTTATTTTTGCAACGATGGAAGAACATAGCTTTGTTTGGGACAAAATTAGCCCATGTAGAAACACACTATTCTCTTTCTAAAAATTTGAAATTTAAATTTTAAAGATAGATTCTCTCAAAAATTTTGTTTTAAAATTTATGTACTTAAGAGAAAGAAACCATATCAAAATTTTTAAATAGAGAAGAATTGTCTCGAATGTCAAATTTTTTGATCGAGAAACTCTCTCAAATTTTTAAGAGCTAGAAACTAACTCAAAATTCAAGTTTCAGGGAGAGAAACTCTATAAAATTTGGAAATCCTTAAAAGGATTGGAAAATAACATTGGGGGAAATCCTTAAAAGGATTGGAAAAGAACATTGGGTCTATACATGAGGGATATTTTCATCTAAAACAAAGCTATTTCCCTCTTTGCAAGTTGACTACAAGGATATATATAATAATTGGGTTAGTTGTGGGATTTAAAAAGTATTAGAGACCAATGCCTGAAAAGTATTGTCCAAGGTTATACATAATTTTATTTAATTTTAAGTTTGTGCAGGGCATTTTAAGTTAAATTTTGGGGAGTCCAATATTTACCAGTTCCTACTATCACGTAGTTAACAAAATATAAAAAAGTAATGAAATAATAAAAATTGAACAAAATACTTCAATATTTAAGCTATTTTGGAAATTTTATGTCTTTCAAACTAATCATTTTGTATTTCTACAAGTATATGATAGGGAGAAGTATGGACACCCATATTTGAGCTTCTAAAAACTGAAAAATAGTAATTATTAGCTGGATAGTCCAAATTTCTAGCTAACCAGAACATGATGTCTTGAATTCTATTCTTATCACAAGTAGGTAACTCTATCCCCACTAAACTCCCAAAAAAATAGCAGTTTTTCAGTTGAAACAATGGATTTGCATACCAACACACTCGAGTCTAGAGGACGCTCTACGTGATGACCCACAAAATCGGCTCATCAATTTTTTAATCCTTGGTTCAAATGTAGTTGAAACGCTGTCTAATGGAAAAAGTTTATATGAGGATGCTACCTTATAATATAGAACAATGGATGCCCCTCAAAAATCCATCGGAAAAGATAGTTCTAATATTGAAAAACCCTTTCATTGAGCATCTCGACATCGAGATGTATGATTATGAAAAATAAAAAGATTTTAAGTCTTAGAAATAGTACATTTTACAACATATTATCTATACCGTCTATTTTCAAGATTTTCATATGTTTATAGATCTACTTGATTTTAACTATTTTTAAAATTTAAAATTTTATAATTAGAAATAAAAATAGATTTTGAGATAATCCTAATCACATTTTATATCAAAATTATATACCATGATAAAATTTGAAAAACACCGAACCTCTACACCTACGGAGGCCGACGGAGGCTGAGGCGTCTGTATCCCCCCCCCCCCTGCCGCCGCCCCCGCCCCCGCCCCCCCGCCAACTTCATACTAGCTTTGACCAACTCAAATGCTATTTCTTCTTTTCCTTTTTTTTCAATTCAATAGAAAAAAACTTTGAGTAATTTCTTTCAACGTCCGTTGGATTTCTTTAAACACTCGAGTCTAGACGGTTCCAAACTTGAAACATATGGTGACCAATTCAACCCACCAGTCTGATTTCGTTAAACATCAATTGAAAACTCAGATATAAAAGTAGCGGCATTTTAGGTGGAAAATTTTGACATGAAACGCATGCGTACCAAATATGGAATTATTAGCTAACCCAGCGCATTGTTGTTGCTTGTGTCCCCAAAATCAACGAGCGTCAATTTTTAATCTTGATGTTCATATTTCAAAGGAAAGAGAATTGACAGAGAGAAAATGAAAAGGAACAATGTTAACACAATAACTGCAGCTTGATATGCAGACGGACGCCGTTTTTGTGAGTCCATGGAGATCATGAATATGAAAAAATACATAAATTTTGTAAATTAGAAATAATAATTATATTTTCAAACATTTGAACCATTAGTTACAATTGTTTTTAAATGGACCACCTATTTGCATCCATTTTTAAAATGAATGCTTTAAATTGGACCACATATTGTACAAATGCGGTCCAGCCCGCATGAAACAATTGTTCAAAGAATAATTAAAATTGCTCAAAGGCAATGGACTGGATTTTTAAAGGTGGAGAGATATTTACTGAATCCATCTTGCATAATAATTAGTGTAAAATATAAACTAATCATCGGGAATGATCCTATTCACAAGTGCATCAGGACCATTAATTTCCCCCAAAGATAGCATTTGGAGTTTATGGACTATGAATGTGCTCACTTAATCATCTATTGGGGGTCGAGCAATTATACCTCCTGATGATTTATCCTTGTGACGTGAAATTACGATTATGCTTTTCAAAATCTTAAAAGTAAATGTTCTTCTTCATCATCATCAAAGCTTTTTTCCAACATATGCTCACACAGTTCATACCCAAACATATGCTCACACGGTCTTGAGCTGCAAAATTTATGTCAAATAAATAAGAGCTAATATCAAATTGCTAGCCGATAAAAGTTTATAAAAGGCAAAAATAGAAGTTAGGTTATTGTAATTTGTATCATCAATTTTATTTGGATGCTACAAATTTGCCCCTTATTTAAATTGTAGTTGATAATTATGAGAGTTTGTATCAGATATGCTCGTCACTCTTATAGTAACTACTGATAAGTGATCGCTGAAAGAAAGACTAATACGATATTGCCGGGGGATATATTTTTTTCTTTTTCTTCTTTTCGTCTATTTTATTTTCTTTTTCTTTTCTTTTTGACAAAGATCACTTACAAGTAATCTTATTACAATAACTCTTACTTCAAAGAAAATAAAACTAACAAATCTAATATCTTAAAAATCTTATTCCATTAAACCAACTTTCTTTAAACAAATAAAATATCCCCAATTCTTATGCATGAGAATCTAAAAACAATATAATTAAATATGATAAGAAACAAAAAGAGAGTGTCAGATATTACCTCAACCGGGCTTATTACATCCCACACCGAGTTACTACCATCTGATGGCACGAGATCAACTATCAACCTTCAATCTCAACCGGAAAAGCAAATTTAAGCCAAGCCCTTTAATGAAACTATGAACTCCTTTATAAAGAGTAGAATCCATGTCCATCTACGGGTGGCAATGGACCCATACCTTACGCGGGATCCGCCAGGTATACCCGACATGGGTCCGGGTATAGGTCAACATTTGGACCCAGTGAGTCGGGTCCGAATCCAAAACCTGGACCCGAACACTATTTGGGTCCTGGTCCGGGTCCGATAAGACCCGACATGCACCCGTAAACTATTGGAGATAAAATACTTCAAGCCCTATTCAACTACGTGTATTAAGGAACATATACAATAAGAAATCGTAATCATATTTAGTTATTAAAAGATAAATCAGTCAGCTTGAAATATAATGGTAGGCGATTGTAACATTGTTGCCAATAATATATATGGTTTTATGATGGTAATTACAAGGGAAAAAAAAAAAAACTCATGTGGCAATGGACCTGACCATATCCAGGCCCGATAGAATAGACCCGAGACCCAACTGGTATTATGGGTCATGTCCGGGTCTAAAACTTGGACTCAAATACTATTCGAATAAAGATTTGGGTCCAGTCGAACCCGGCCTGTTGCCAACCGTATGTTCGTCCACGTGATTGCCGTTTGTTATATTCGTTTCACTTTGTACTTTTTAGGTTTAGGAAAGGTTTCCTTCTCCACTAGTGATCACGCACTATCCAAATTTAAAAGATTTACATCCACCATGAAGTAGTATATGTAATAGAATGTATCAACTTCCTTAAAATAAGGAAATAATGATTTATACAAATCCTTTCCCACCATGGCTTCACTATACCCAATAGCACACACACTCATCAATGATACCTGAGGCGCGACATAAAAGTTAACATGTGCATGTCCATATGTGCCAAAGATGTGCTCTGATCCATTGCATGATGAATACATAGACATAGAAGCTGGTGTGGACTTAAAACAGTTGCTCCCCCTCCCCCTATCTCCTTGGCCAATTTTCAGGTGGAAATAACTCAACAGGATGCCGTCGTTCCGGCATTGTCCCTGCAAGAATCTCGGGTTCCCCTCTCTAACCTAGACTTATTCATTCCTCCTGTTGATTTTGAGGTCTTCTTTTGTTATAAATAACCCCTTCTCAAGCATGGGTACTGTGAGATTAGGGGTAGGCTTAAAAGTTCTCTGTCTGAGGTTTTAGTAAGTTACTATGTGTGGGGAGCCTGGGATTCTATGTGGTAACAAGGGTGCGGAGTTTTTGGAGGCAAGTGCTGAGATTGAGCTTAAAGATTTAGATTTGCATAAGCCTGATGAAAGCGTTGAAGGGAAGATAATTCCCACTAAGAAATGGGGAGTCTTGTGTGTTCAGGTGAGCCCTCATTCACTCTCACTCCCAAACTCAAAAGATTTTTGTCATTTCTATTTTTGGGGGTCAGTAGTTGGCCTACAACGCGGGTTTTAGTCAAGGTTGCGGTTAGCATGCGGCTAGTGCCCCATATTGTAAAAATACGTGCCCGCAATAAATATATTTTTAGGGTGTGGTTTGTACATAGCCTAGGCTCTAAACAATCAAATTAGAGCCTACATTCAAATAGTGTCGAGAAATGTGGTTTTAATATTGGAAATCTTTTTGATAGCCTTAAATATATTTTCATCTTTAAAGCTTCAAAAACAGTGTCAATCGAGAGATCTATGAAATATTAAAAATCTAGAAAATTGACTGTCCAAAAATGCATTACAAAATACACTATTTCCAAAACTTGCAACTGATATGAAAATTTGTATTTTTATTAGGGTTGTAAATGGGTCCGGATAGATATATGTGGACCCTATCCAATTGGACCTGGACCAACCCAACGGTCTAGGTCAAATGGAGTGGGGACAATCGATCGGATCCAATATCTGCGTCTAGTTCCGGACCTAGGTTGGGTTGACATGTCAGGGCAAGGTTCAACTTGGCACATTTGCCTTGTTTTCTGTTGTCATCTCACTCAAACAAGATGGTGTCTTTTGAAGGCGTACACACTTCAATGAGGTTCAAAAGCGAAATTCAAATGCGCCCTAATATCACAAATTAGTTGTCGCATAAAAAAAAAGCCACTCTAACCAAGTTGCTGATCAGGAACCAAATCAGCTGATATGGTTTGAGAATATGTCTGATTGATTCTGATTCTTTAGAATATCGAGAACTGGTTGGTTCTCCCCATAAATTAATCGGATCCCATTAAATCTGGCCCTTTCTCTAATAGAACAGCCTAACTTTTATTTTTCAAAATTTTAAAACTTTTATTTAAAACTTTTAAATGACTGGTTTGGGATCCAGAATCTACCGACAGATCGAAAATCGAGAGAGGCGATTGGGGTCAATGAAGTGATATTCAGATTAGTAGTGTAATCTAAATGGGGTATAGGGAAAATGTTCCCTTTCTTATTTGATAAAGTGCGTAAGGAAGGGATGGTTGGAAGTTTCCCTTGTGAAAGGGTAAGAAATAAAGTCAAATATTTGGATGCATGGACAGATGTATAACTCAAGCTAAAAGAATACATGCTATTATGATTGTTTTTGGGAAACCAAATTTTGAGTTCAATCTAGAGACTAACAACCTTAAAAAAAAGAAAATTTCATTATATATTTATGACAAAAGTTTATATAAGGCTGAGGAGCATAGTGGTGGCTTGCACTTTCGATCACCGTGTAGCAGACGCTTACTCGGCCAACATGTTCCTCATCTCATGAGCTCAAACTGCTCAATCCAAACCCTCCTCCATGCTTCCAAGTTTCCGAAGATCCCTCCTTAATCCCTGACATCCGGGATCTTATACCGTGTCCCACGATCCAATGTTCATGGAGACATCCTTGCTGCCGATCTCCATACTCTCTAATGACCGTCTCTGTTGTCGCATATACTACATGAAAGCCCAGGATATCCATCTTCTCCAAGCCACGGCCAGCTCTAATGGCCAACATAGAACAAAACTAGAGTCCTTTTCTACCTTACTTTGGCAAATCCTTGCGGAAAAAGAACCAAAAAAATGTAGTATGGTGATTGCGGTGGATGGTCGGTCTAGGCTAGGACCAAACAGGTCTGATTATTTTGGCAGTGGGTTAGCATTGCCTTTTTAAGGAAGCAGAGGCTTCAGAGCTGAGAGCCATGGCATTTAACCAAGTGGCTGCTCTCGTGCATGAATGCTTGACAGGTGTTACAAATAATGAATTTTTTCGAGGTTTGGTCGATTGGGTTGAGATGCAAAGGCCAAAGCCTGTGTTAGCAACAATTTACTGCAAGAATGAGGCTGAGGAGGCGGCAGTGCTAGTTTCTTCAGGGCTTCGAGTGATATTGATTTCAGTTGGGGGAGGCCGGTTTTTGGGTCATATAATTTCCGGTGGGGCCGGGCGGAACATCCTATGCCGAGTGCGCTGGACGATGGCGACTGGGTTGTGTTGCCTGAGGCCCAAATGGAGGTGGTTGAGGTAGAACTCCTTCACCCCATGACCGCAAGTTATCTGAATGGGGTTCTCATTGAAGAACCTGCATAATATCATTTTGCTAATTGCTATTTTGAATATCATGGCATGTCTAAAGCATTTTATTGCTTCATGTTTAAAAATAAGCTTTGTCAAGGCGATCTGGCCTTGATCCAATCGCCAGCTTAATCAACGTTATTACATCCTTCTTTAATGTCCCTTATTTTCATTTTTTTCTTTTTTAAAGCTGACCATAATATTATGTCTATTGTGTTAACGGTGATAGAAAATCACCATAGGGCAAATTGCCTTTTATGTAAAATTTGGTGGCGGTTGGGGTAATTCCATCACGTATTTATTTTTCAGAACTCTATTGCAAACCATTAGTTGGGCTTGTTAATGGAAAATGTTACATATTTCGGGTTTGAATCTCTAACATGGGACATTTATAGAAAAACGATCATTTATTTTTAAAATATTATAGTAGCCTCCTAGATTTCATATTTACACTCAATGTCACTTCTTTAGATCACACAATATGTTTTGATCGTAAAGGTAAAAATGAAAAAATTATGGATATCCTTTATAGACATTCTACTCCCAATACTTATTGTTTCACACCCATAAATATGTTATTATTTTTTCTTGCTTTTACCCCGAGTTAAAAAGTCATTGTTTCAAAAAACTAAACTACCCTGCCCCTCCTTTAACGTAACCATTTAATCTCTCTCTCTCCACCTTCACTCTCTCTTTCTCTCTCTCTCCACCTTCACTCTCTCCTTCTCTCTCTCTGCCTTCACTCTCTCTCTCCACCTTCACTCTCTCTTTCTCTCTCTACCTCCTCTCTACCTGCCCTCTCTCACTTGGGTAGAGAGAGAAAAAGAGAGGATAGGTCGAGCGAGAAATATAGAGTGTGGTTAGAGAGAGAGAGGGAGGGTAGAGAAAGAGAGAATGTGGATAGAGAGAAAGAACGGGTAGAGAAAATGAGAGAGAGAGCGGGTAGAGAGAGAAAGAGAGAGGGTGGGTCGAGAGAGAGGGTAGGTAGAGAGAGAGAGAGATTTAATGGGTAAGGTAAAGAAGGGGAAGGATAGTGTAGTCATTGAAGTAATAAATTTTTTACAGTAATTGGGTCATAAGTGTGATATTAAAAGTATAGGGGATAGAATGTCTACAAAGTTCATTTTGGAGATTTCCATAATTTATCCAAAATTATATATACCTCCCTAGATAATACTTTTTTAAATCACACTACTAACCTAATTGCTATTTATTTTTGTAACCATGGACGGGCATAGCTTTGCTTTGGACAAAAATAGCCCTTGTATAAACTCATGATTCTCTCTTTAAAAATTTGAAATTTAAAATCTTAGAAAGAGACTTCCTCAAAAAATTTAGAGATGTATTATCTTCTTCTTTTTTTTCTTTAGGAAAGAGATACTCTATCAAAAAATTTAAATGGAGAAATTGCCTCAATATTCATGTTCTAGGGAGAAAAACTCTATAAAATTTTGAAATACTTGAAAGGGATGGATAAAATAGTAATTGGGTTAGTTATGTGGTTAAAAAAGTATTAGGGACCAATGCTTGAAAAATATGGTCCAAGGGGTATACATAATTTTCCCTAATCTTAGTTTTTTCTTTTTTGTAGGGCATTGTAAGTTAAAATTTGGGGCGTCCAATATTTCCGAGTTCATGCCCTCGCATACTTGAACAAAATATAAGAAGGTAATTAAATGATAAAAAAATAACTAAAATACCCAAGATTCAAGGTTGTTTTGGTAATTTTATATCCTTCAAATTAATATTTTGTATTTCGGTATATGATAGTGAGAAGTATGCATACCAATATTTGAGCTTATAAAAACCCAGAATTTAATATTTAATGGCAGGATAGTCCAAATTTAAAGCTTGCAAAAATATGACGTCTTGAGTTTCATTCCTACCATTGGTATAAGACCTCATCCCCACTTAACTATCCAAAAAAATAGCAAGTTTTCATGTGAAACAATGAGTTTCTAAACCACCACAATCAAGTTTGGAGGAGGTTCAATGCGATGACCCACATAATGAGCTAAACAAGTTTGAAACCAGATGGAGGCCAGTTCAACCCACCGGTCTGATTTTTTTTCTTTAAATATCAGTGGAAACCTCATCTCTAAAAAAAGACATTTTAGGTGGAAAATTTGACAGGTTCTATGAGAACCAAAAATAAAATTATTAGGTAACCCAGCACATTATTGTTGCTTGTGTCTCCCAAATCAACCGGAGGCAATTTTAAATTTTGATTTTTATATTTCAAAGGGAAAAAAGAATAGCATAGAGAGAAAGTGAAAAGCAACAACAATAACACACAAATGATACGCAGACTTCAAAAAACAAGGTGCACAAAACAAAGCTACAAGGGTAGCGGCTGAAAAATATTTCAAAGGGAAAAAAGAATAGCATAGAGAGAAAGTGAAAAGCAACAACAATAACACACAAATGATACGCAGACTTCAAAAAACAAGGTGCACAAAACAAAGCTACAAGGGTAGCGGCTGAAAAATATGCAAGTACCAAAAAGAGGCACAAACAGCAAGAATAGCGACACTGCAATCCTAGAGCATGAGCACGCTTACTACATAAACTTTCTTTTCCAAAAGGGAAAGGGCCTGTCTTCCCTATTGAATTACTTAAAAAAAAACTTTAATTCAATGTGCTGTACTCCCAGCGTCCGAAACTTTCAATAATGTTCGTGTCCGAAACTTTCGGCAGATTTTTGGAGACGGTATACAGCCGAGTGTTTCAAAATTCGGTGATTTGGACGGGAAAACTTTATTTTTCACATAAAAACAATAAGAGAACTGTTCCCAAGTCTAAATATCAATACAATTATTAATTATAATATTGCATTGAACATGATTAAAAAAAAGGACGTGGTTTGTATAAAGCCGAGGTTCTAAACCATCAAAATAAAGTATACCTTCAAATAGTGTCAAGAAATGGGGTTTCAATACTGAAAATCTTTGTGATAGCCTTAAAAGATATTTTCATCTCTAATTATAACATTTAAAGCTTCAAAAATAGTGTAGATTGAGCATTGTCTATGAAAACTTCAAATCTTGAAAAGTGACGGTCCAAAAATGTATAAAAAGATGCTCTATTTTAAAAACTTAAAATCTATTTGTTTATCATGTCCATGCATTTTGAGGTCAAGATGATCAATTTGAAGATACTTGGGCATCAAAACAACCTCTTTTAACGAAATTTTTGAGGTGCGCCTAATTTGATTGTTTAGTGCCTCCCACTTATATAATTTTTTCCTTTAAAAAAATACTTCCCTATTATAAGATTTTTAAAAGAATAATACCCCTCATTAAGTGAAATTAGTATCACATCAAATATTTGTTAGTTCTCTCTACTCATCCAAAATTATTACAATGTAACCAACTATAATACTATATAGTGAAATTCTAATCATAGGAACAAATAAGAATAAATTTAAACTTTTTCTTATATTGTCATATAAATTTAAAAAATCATATTTATAAATAAAAAAATACATTATGTAATTTAAATATAAATGTGGGGCTTTTATAGAAGTTCGTGGCTCGCAACGAAGCCCGTGGAGACGAGGTTTCCAAGAAATCGTGGTGGGAAGAAGGAAGACTGGTCCCATATCGCAGTCAATGGCGACATATAAGCCAAGCAAGTGGAAGGTATGAGTTCGTGGCTCGCAACGAAGCCCGTGGAGATGAGGTTTCCACAGCGACGCCCTATACCATTCCCTTCTCTCCACAAATGTTCTTATCAACTTTCTATCCCTTCTACCCAGCAAAATGACAGGGCATAAGAATTATCTTGAGTCATTTACGTATCAAAAAAGAAAAAACCGAAAAAGAAGCTTTAAAAAGGATGAAGATAGGATGGTATGTCATACATACATTTGTACGATGAGGAATTCAGAAGTGAAAGAAGCTTTGAAAAGGATGAAGATAGGATGGTATATCATACATACATTTGTAGGATTAGAAGTTGGATTAAGAATTCAGAAGTGAAAGAAGCTTTGAAAAGTTTGAAGATAGCTTTGAAAATAATGAAGATAGGAAAGGCTTTAGGACTAGATGGTATCCCTATAGAGGCTTGGAAGTGCATGGAGGAGATTGGCACTAACGAAACTGTTTAACAAGGTGATGAGAATAAAGAAAATGCTAGACGAATGTAGGAAAAATATTGTAATACCTATTTACAAGAACAAATGAGACATACAGAATTGTGCAATCGAGGGATCAAACTTAGGAGTCATACTATGAAGCTCTGGGTGAGAGTGATTTTGAGCAACGACTAAAGCATGAAACGAGTTTATCTTAAAACCAATTTAGTTTCATGCCAAAAAGGTCAACAACCAATGTTATTTTTTTACTTAGGTAACTGATCGAGAAGTTTAGGGCGAAGGGAAAAGATTTCCACGTGGTCTTTATTGACCTTAAGAAAGCTTATGATAGAGTACCTAGATATTTTATTTGGAGAGTGTTGAAAAAGAAAGGAATCTCCAAACACTTCATCGACTTAGTGAGAGATATGTACAATGGAGCGCTAACTAACTTGCGAGCAACTAGTGGAGAGACGAGTGAGTTTTAGTGATCATAGGTCTACATCAAGGATCAGCATTGAGCTCGTACATATTTGTCTTAGTTATAGACGCCTTAACTAGGCACCTACAGGATGAGGTACTATGGTATATGTTGTTTGTAGATGACATAATTTTGATAAATGAGACCTAAAGCGGCATCAACACAAAGTTAGAACTTTGGATGGATAGTTTAAAATTTAAAGGTTTTAAAATTAACCAGACTAAGACAAAGTATATGGAATGTAAGTTTAGTAATAATAGGAGTAGAGACGAATAGACTTAAGTAGGCTGGCTATGTATGGCGTCGGCCCAATACAACACATGTTAGAAGGTTTCAAGTGAAAGGAAGAAAAGGGTAAGGGGTGAGCCCAAAAAGACATGGTCAGAAGTTCTCCAAAAATATACATAGACTTATGGCCTCACAATGGGTATGGATCCCAATTAAATGAAAAAAATCCTATGATGATGGTGAATAATAGATAGAGCTAACTTGAAAATGAATTATGAAATAGGCACATAGACGAAAGGTGCTCCATGATACAGTTGTCAAATTTTTTAAAAAAATTTTCCGTGGGTTGGTGTCAGTTACATCAATATTTATTCATCTATTGGCCTCATTTATGCACCTACGTGGAAGTAGGTGAGAGTAGGGACGCCCCAATTATTCAATCCATACAAAAAGAAGGAAAATTTGTTTACATCAAACTTACGAAGCTTCCATAACACTCACACATACACTCACACTCACACTTACACCCGGTATACGCTGTATAAATATTAACCACCACGTCAGCCATACTAGGAAAGAGCAAGCCTGCAACAAGTGACGGACATGAGTTGGTGGCCCACGACGCCACCCTCACGCGAAGCACGTGGAGATGAGGTTCTACATGAAGGCTCTAAGGGCATGTTTCATGATTCGAAGTTTTTTTTGAAGTGGGAATTAAAAGTCTCACTTCTTGCTTAATATTAATGGGTGGAAGTTATAAAGTGGAAAAGCGAAAAATAGAAAAAAAGTATGAAAATAGAAGTTAACACAAAATAAGAAAAAAGTATTTATCTTTTGAAAAAAAAGGTATGAAAAATAGAAGTTTCATAAAATAAGAAAAAAAATATTCATCATTCAGAAAAAAGAAAATATATATAGGCAACAAAGGGGCAAAAAAATTTAACCAATTTTTTTATAAAGCTTTAAAAAAACACGTTTAAAACTTTTTCATAAAAAACACTATTTTTTTTTTTTACGATTTATTGAAATATGCGCAGATTAAAATATTTTTCTAAAACACTCAGTTTTTTTAAACAAGTCGTATTTAAAATGGGGACTTGCTGACTATGGAGTTGAAAGACCTTTTATGTGATTTTGGCCTAAAATTGACCCATTTCATATTTTCCTATTTGTTTTTGTATCGACATGGCTGTCCCTCTTTCTTCTTTGAATCTCTGTCTCTCACTCAGAGACAGATGCACATCTGCCAAGAATGTCAAAAATATGCTCTGATGCTTGTTTAAACCAATTCCATTGCATGATGAATACATAGACATAGAACAACAAACATTTGAAACTTGTGTGGACTTAAACAGTGGATCTCCCCATCGCCATGGCCAATTTTCAGGTGGAAATAATTCAACAGGATACCGTGGTTCCGGCATTGCCCCTCGAAGAATCTCGGGTTCCCCTCTCTAACCTAGACTTATTCATTCCTCCTGTTGATTTTGGGGTCTTCTTTTGTTATAAACAACCACTACTGAAGCATGGGTACAGCGAGATTACGGGTAAGCTTAAAAAGTCTCTGTCCGAGGTTTTAGTAAGTTACTATGTGTTGTCAGGTGAAATTGTGGTGAACAATGGTGGGAAGCCTGAGATCCTATGCGGTAGCAGGGGTGTGGAGTTCTTGGAGGCAAGTGCTGAGATTGAGCTTAAAGATTTAGATTTGCATAAACCCGATGAAAGCGTTGAAGGGAAGATAATTCCTACTAAGAAATGGGGAGTCTTTTGTGTTCAGGTGATCCTTCATTCACTCTCACTCCCAAACTCCAAACATTGTTTCTTTCCTATTTTGTGGGTCACTACTTTGGGCCTTTTAGTCAAATATATATTTAACTTTGTTAAAAAAATACACCAGTTTGGGTTCTACTAACCTTGTTTTTAAATCTTGACCGTAACAATACTGAAATGTGTTAGGGAGTGGCATTCAGATTAGCAGTGTTGTTTCCTTTCCGTTTTTTTTTCATAAATCACTCACTTTCAAGAATGGGAGGTTTCCCTTGTGAAATGTTCAAAAAACAAGTCAAATATTTGGATGCATGTACAGCAAGGTAGATGTATAACTCAAGCTAAGAGATTACATGCTCTCGTGATTGTTTTTGGGAGACTAAACCTTTAAAAAATTATCATATATTTATTAGAAATAGCGTTTTAAAATTGAACAGAGACCTAATTTTAGAATTCAAATGCCATTTTCTTTTCATTTTAAAAATGCATATATGGTGGACTGCAAAATTTTAGATTGGGGAAAATACTCCTGAGTGTGCCTTGTAACCAAGGGAATAAGTATATAGTTTGCTTCCACATGAATGTCAAATTGGATGGTACATGTGTCCAATGTGGTAAAAAGTAATTTAATAAAAAAATGCATCAGTTGCATTCCCATTATTTCCAAAAAAAAATAGTAAATAAACGACAAAAATCACAGGCGGCTAGATGTTTCTCGTTCACATAGAAAGTATATCCTACTTTTTCTGGGTGAATCCATGGAACCCCATGTTGTGATACCCACGACCCTGGCACCTATTCCCAGAGTCCTTTACTATGGAAAATAATTCATAAACATTGTTTGAATAATCGGTTGGTTAAAACCGGAACCTGCCGGTTAGCTCGGAACCGCTAGGGTTCAAAGGACCTAGGTTATTACCCCATAAAATGTCCAGACCAAAACCAGCCGGTTAGGGGTCGAAACAGCCGTATTTATGTCTAACCGGTGGGTTTTGAATTTTTGGCAAAAACGAGCAAAACGAAATAACGGCCGTTTATTTTAAATGGAGCCCGTTATTTGCAGCAGACCTGTGAATCAAATTTTCTTTTCTTTTTTTATTCAATTTTCTTGCTATTTTTTGACGTTTTTGGTGCTTTAGTGTTGTAAACCATTTTTCAATTTTTCAATTTGAATCATAATCGAATTGGTTACCATATCCATTTTTCAATTTGTTCAAAAACCAAGATATTTGGGGTTGATTTTGGTCTCAAAATTTATTGCTCGAAGAACTTGCGTTCGATCCAAAAAACAGATTTTGGATCAATTTAATAGTCTTTTTTATCAAATTGATTGATGGATTTTTATCATCAAGGCTTCATTCGTCATATAAAATAGGTACGTTCATTTATAATTGAGTAAATTTTTTTATATGCATTTATTTCTTGATTGACATCATGAAAATTTCATAGGTCTAAATTTTCTACGACTTTTGAAATAAAATAAAAAATACTAAATGTTTTTTATTAGATTTGGTGTGTTTGAATATGATGGAAGCCTTTACAAAGCTTTTGTATTGATTTGTTTGATTTTCCAAACATTGAGGGTCATTTTTTCTTAAAATGTTGCTCGATGTTAGGGGTTTTTGAGAAACCGATTTTTCAAAAAAAATTAATTTCACTTAATATTGTTAAGTTAATAAAATTATTTTTTATGATGAATATGGGGAGTGTTTTTCTATTTTGCTTACTACAATTATATTTTATTTTGATAAAATTATGTTTTTATGATAAAAATATGTTTTTTGATGAATATGACAAAAAAAATCGATTCTTCTTTTTTAAATGTTATATTTTTTCTTCCAAACAAAAAAACAAGTGCATGATACTGTCAGTCTTACTTTTGCTTCAATTTTTTTGTTCGATTTTTTTTCTTTCTAGTTTTAAGTGCATGATATAGTTATATTTGTAATAATAGAACTGGGATTGTAATTATAATTGTTGTAATAATGGAATCGGGATTGTAATTGTGTAATGGCAATGGGATTATAATTGTGTTGGCAGAGGCATTCATAATTTTAAATGTTTTTATTATCAAAAAAAATTGATCTTGCTTTTAAATAACTGTCTTGGATTATGATATTTACATAGGATCGATAATACTAGTTACTTCTTACCATTTTCTTATTTTGTCATAAGGACCGTTGATATAGTAGTTTACTTTGCTGCTCAATTGATAAATGTAATCATGAAGTATTAATATGATTACTTCAAACCAGCGTTTTAAAAAACGCCGAGTCGCCCGGTTCGACTCGGAAATAGTGAAAAAGGAACCGGATCGCCCGAAAATCGGAAATCGTCCGTTCTAGAGAGAACCGGACGATTCTGTACAGTGAATCGCGATTCACTGTACGGAATCGGCTAGTCCGAACAGTGAATCGCGATTCTCTGTACGGAATCGGCGAGTCCGAACAGTGAATCGGCGATTACGTACGGTTAATTTTTTTTTTTTTTTTTTTTTTTTTTTTTTTTTTTTTTTTTTTTTTTTTTTAGTACTCT